ATTCGTGTAGACGAAGCAGTCGCCGACCCACTTGCCGGTACGGACCGTCTCGTTGATGTCGGTAATGACCTCAAAGGCAGCCTCAACGCCATCGTCGTCGACCTCGCCAGCGTTGGCGGCGGCGATGTAGTTCTCGCGCGAGAAGCGCAGGACGTAGTAGGTGTCCTCACACGCCAAGCAAACGAGCTCACCGCTGTCGGACCAGTACACCTCCCGAGGCTCGACTTCGATGCGGCGAACGAGGTTGCCTGTCGCCCAGTCAAAGAAGGACACGCCACCTGCACCGCGCACACCGAGCAGGACACCGCCGTGGAGGCCGTCTGCCTGGAAGCCGACGTCCAGGCCGCCGGACTTCTCAACAAAATTTTTGTAGATCTTGACAGACGTCGGCGAATCGCGGACGGCGTAGTCGTTGCTGTTGTCTTTGCTGGCCCAGACAAAGTCCAAGGCACTGCCAAAGCCCTTTTGCCGCCACGCCAGCGCAGTGTAGATAATGTACTCGCCGTCGCCGGAGACCGCCACAAAGCGGCCGTTGGGCGAGTGCTGCAGGGTCTGCGGGTAGACTTCGCACTGGCCGAGGTCCTTGGTCTGCAGGTTGATGGGGTCGTTGTCCTTGGTGGATGGATCGGGCTTGATGATGGCAGACACAACGTCGTTGTTCTTGGCGGCAATGACCTTGCCGGAGGCATCCATGGAGATGGCAGGCTCCTCGCGGCCCATCTTGATCACGACGACACCATCGTCGAAACCAACACCGACGCCCTGCTTGCCCTTCTGGTAGGACACGCACCATGCGCGCTCCAGGCCGTAGTTCAAGGACTGCTCCAGGCGGTAGGTGCCGCTGTGCCAGATCTTGATGGTGCCGTCCTCGGAACCGGAGACGATGATGGGCAGCTCCGGGTGGTAGACGGCGAAGGAGACGTTGTTTGTGTGGCCCTCGAGAGTGGCCTGCAACGACTTGGTGGTCAGGTCCCAGACCTTAATGGTGCGGTCGTCCGACGTTGTGAGGATATAGGGGCGGTCCGAGTGGGGGTAGTAGTCAACATAGTTGACGCCCTTCGTCTCATGGGCCTCAAGGGTGAAGTTGGCGGTGCTAGAGCCGAGCTGCGCGACACGTGTCAGGAACATGCAAAACCTCATTCAGGTTATTCAGACACGGCACTCGTGGACTTACCGACCAGACCTTGACAGTCCTATCGAGACAGGCGGACGCAAACAGACTGGTATCCTTGGGATTGATGGCAAGGCCCATGACATAGTGGCTGTGGCCCTCGTAGACCTGGACACACTTCCATCCTTTCTCCCAGTCCCAGCACTTGATGGTCATGTCATCACTAGCGGACAGCACAAACGGTTGGGTTCTATATAGGCAGTCGTATTAGATATGGGGGCCCGGTGTATCGACAAGACAGACGGCAGAAGGCAAAAAACAGCACGGGTATGGGGTTGGACTGACGGGTGGACGGCCAGGGCACGGATGTAGTCGGGGTGAGCTTCGAAGCCTGTAATCTTCTCGGACGTGTTGTAGTTGTAGACACGCATCTGGAAGTCGTCGCTGCCGCAGACAATCCAGTTCTTTCTCGCGCTGCAGAGATGTTGCAGTCAGTACAAATGTATTCAGCCGGCAGTCGGGCGTGGCAGGCGTATAACGGTATGCCGATTGGGATTGGGATTTGGTCAACGCACATAAAGCGTCCGGCGCGGACAGGTACGTCGGTGAGCTCGAATGTCTTGACTACCTGGCCGGTCTCGAAGTTCCAGATGTGGCATTGGCCTGTCGTGGGGACGGACACGCAATGTTAGAGCTTTTTCTGGGTATATTAAATCTGCATCATCGACGTGGAGAAGCCATACCGGAATACAGCGTCGTGAGGATCCATGGCTCGGTGGGGTGAAAGTCAATGCCCTTCACCCGCTCGCTGCGAGCGAAGAGGCTTCTCTGTAGAAACAATCCGACGTTAGCAGCTGTGTGGCCCTGAACCAAGCGGGCGTGTGGTTTTGCTGCTGCCATGTGAAGCTATCACGAGCATCTCGAAATGGCGGGGAAACAGCTAATCACGCCGAAATACCGGCGTGCAAAGGGGGCCAGAGCTACCGTACCTTGACGTCCAACCGCATTGTTATGGAGAATAAGAGTCGACGCGTCCGCGAGGTGTAGTATAGATGTGGACGGGGGACGGTCGGCAGATGGTGGTGGCGGGCGGACGATGGTATCAAGAAAGGGGTAGCGGTCGGCGGCCACGACACCAATCCAATGCTCGTCCAATATGCTGTTGTGTCCCTTCGAAAATGTGGCCGCAGTGTCCCTCGTGTGGGGTTGTGGCTTGTGACGTGTGGCTTGCGGTTATGTTTCTGCCTGAGGTAGGGAACTTTAGTCATCTGTTAAGTTTAATCACGTGAAATATGGGACTCTGTGTGGTCTAGCTTCCCTCAAGCCCCAGTTTCCTTGGTTACGACTTTTGCCTCACTCCATCTACCGATTTCCCTGATCATTGGGTCAAAAATGGCGTCGTTTCTTCTGCCCTGTTTTTCCACTCGGCACGGCCGGCGAGAAAACTCGCCCGAGGTGCCGAGTCACCCAATCCATAGGCACTGGCAGGTCGCTCGCTGGTGTTCGCTTTGATGAAGAGCAGAAGGGGCGAGAAAAAGAAGAAGAAAATGGCAAAAAGGGGAAAAGAAAAAGAGAACTGAAAGGCCTGCCCACTTACAACACGGAAACAACAATCCAATACTTCATACCGCCCACTGTGCCATGGTCGAAGGTCAAGCCGGTCAGCAGCCACTCCGCACACACCAGGCCTTTACTTCGTTTCGTCTCATTTCGTCTCATTTCGCTTTCCATTTCCTCCACAGATACGATTCCCCCTGTTCATAAGCTCTCCACGGGCCCCAATTCCGAGCTGTCAGGCAGCCAGCGAAGAATTCGTCCGGTGGAAGCTTCACTACAGTGGTCATTTTACTTTCCACATCTTACAATGAAGGCACGCAATAACCAACCGGCGATCCTACATCGTCATTGTCCTTATTAGGAAAGCCTTTGAGCGGCAGAGCGGCCCAAGTACGACGTACAGTTGACATCACTGAACCGGCCACGCGTCGGTGATCGACACAGCAGGGAACTTCCTAAATTGGCGACCTGCCCTTTGTCTCGCGACCGATCGTCCCCGGAGCAATCGAGGTTGAAGGGCGACCAATGCCCAACAGAGCGGCGGGGCCGATTCTGCACCCAAGCTTTATTTCAGACGCGGCTCTATTTCCTCCTAGGCGGGGATCGTGAGCCGTAGCCGCACGCGAGACAGCCTAGTGATAGCCAGCTCGCCGGTCTAGAACATGGAAGGTGAAGTAGGTACAGAGACTGGAAACAGGGTAGCAAAACGAGTACACAAGCTCGCCAGGACAGGACTTGAGGACGTCCGACAACTCCTGGCATCTCCATCTCGACCATGGATCATTTCGCAGAATTTTTTTTAAAAAAAAGATAGCAAAAGCAAAAGCAAAAGAAAAAGAAAAGAAAAGAAAAGAAAAAGATAAGAAAAACTAGGGCTTGATTTGGCGCTCCCGAGCTTTGCGCTGGTAGAGCACCTGAGCACGTAATCCATGACCACCTCAGCCGACCATTGTGGCTTGCTGGATGCGCCTCTACCTGCTTGTGATTATTCTGGGGCACTGGGGGGTTCTTTTATGGCCTTTTTGCCACGACCGGAAACAAAGCAAGGGATAGCCAGGGATTATTCGCTGCATTGACCGTTTGCCTGGTTGCGTTTCTCCTTTTGCACATCTGCCAGAACCAAACCCACATGTCTATCCAAGTCACCGATGTTTCTGCTCGGCAAGCGTTGATGTTTATCGCCACCCGGACTCGCGGTGCCCTGACTACTGCCAGCTGTTACTTCATAGGCTCGGCTGGCAATTTTTGTTGCGGGTTGTGGCCCACGGGCCGGGTCTGCTAACTACTTGGACTTGGGGCCATGCCGTGCGTGTCAAAAACCTGTCGCTGGCTGGCCACCGTTCATATACGAGCACCAAAACAGGGAGCAAACTCACACAGTGAGAGCCAGCCAGTGAGTATGGTTTTGCTCACCCTTGAACCAAGAATTTTTCGAAAACGTGCGAAATGAAGATGACAAGAAAAAGAAACGAGAGAGAGAAAAGGAAATGAAAAAGAAAAGAAAGAACAGAAAAAGCCTAAAATGATCGTCAAAATAAACTTACACAAAACACGCCGAGGTGCCCATCCGCGCCAGTCACCATCCTTGCTCAAGCTCAATGAGCCACGTCGGATACAGATATGTCCGGCATTACTGCCCTTTGGCTCCACGATAATTCCCAATGACTTGCCCGGCATCTATTCCGTAGTAGACCGTATTTTACTTTGCGAGGTCATGGCACTTGAAGCCGGTCGCACAGCTGAAAGCAGAGCTGTGTCCACTCCCCCCCACTTCGCCTCCTCTTACATGTTCCTTGCCTTGATTGCATTCAACCCAAGACGTCTAACCCTGATTTAAGTCGGGATGAAAACAAGCATAGTACGTCTACGAAGCCAAAAATGCAATTCTGCAATAGGGAAGGAAATGCATGAGGTGGCAAATCCGGCATCGCCAATGACCCCTGGAAACAGTTCGCCCCTTCCTTACCCGTCGGCTTGCACATCGCACGTGCACCTGAGTCGTGCCTTCCTTCCCAACACCCGCAGATCTGGCTGTATCGTCCCTCTTTTAACGTCCACATCTCTCTTTCTCTGTATATATTTGATTCAGCTGCTGCACGAGGACAATCACCGCCAAAATAGGGGGGAGATGGACTTTGCAAACAAAAAACCAGGCGCTTCCTAGCGACCCAATCGACACTCTCATCGATACGATTTAAGACAATCTTGACCGACAACCCCCGGCACCCAGGACGAGTGAATCCGGCGACACACTTCGAATGTCGGATCGGCTGTTGGGAGGCACAAAGCCGAGGGCACGTAATTTTGAATTTCTCACCCACGGCGGACACTCATGGCCGACCCGACGAGATCACAGGAGCCATTGGCTCCGGTGGAGTCTCGTCAACAAGAACAGCAAGAAGCACAGCAACAAAACACACCTGTGCACTCACCCACCAGCCCATCCTCGAGCTTCCCCCACCGCCAGTCACAACAGTCCCATTCTCCTTCCTACCAACATCTTCAGGACCCGCGACAACCACAACACCCGCGACCACACCAGTTTGCTCATAGCAACATGCAACAGCCCTACTACCGACCTCCTGGACCCGGTGGCGGCCCTCACAGCCACGGAGCCTTCGACATGCACGGCATGGCGCAGAGCCTCCCACAAGCAGACTACCGGCAACAGCAGCAGTACGGCGCCGCCGGAAACCGCGCCGGGCCTCGCAGCTATGCAATGGGCCCCGGGGCTTCACTTAGCGCTCACTACAACACGCACCCAGGTGGCCCGGCCCCAGCGCAACAAGGCTTTTACCTTCCGCATCAACCACCGATGATGGGGCAACACTACTACGGCACTGGCCCAGTTCCGGCAACGGCGCCTCGACACGCTGGTGGCACTGGGGGCTATGGTTATTACGCAGGCCAAGCACCGTCGTCGACAGGTTACTATTACCGACACCCAGGCCAATACGTCCACCAACCTCAGCACCAACACCACCAGCCAGTCGCTCACCCGCAAGGGGGGATGCCCGGCGGTGGCATGCCCGGCGGCAGCGCGCCTGGAATCTATACGCCAGCGCCCAATGCACCTAGGCGCCCGTCGCAACCCGTCGTTGTCACCAGCAACCCTTTGGCAGATGGTCTAAAAAGCTCACCAAATATTGACAAAGCACCCCGTCCAGGTAAGGAACCCTTCAGCTGACACGATAGGGAGACGATACGAACCACCGCCCAACCCGAGATAATGGGTGCAATCCGATGGCACAGTGCAATAAGATAAAAGTGAACGAGGAGAAAAAAAAGGAAACCTAGGAGGTCATGACAAACTTTTGTGTTCGTGATGTAGTTCAGTACTGCTGAAAGGCACAATTGACTAACAAAGTTCGGCACTCTAGTATATGGCCAGTCCCAACCGACCAGCGTCGTACGAGGACCTCCTCGCAAGCCGAAGCAAAGCGGTAAGTCCTAATTGCGGTGTTATGGCTTATTTACGCGACAAGATGCGGCTGTGTGTTGTGTTTAATGTGCTGCGTGTTCATGGTTGCTTGCATTTGCGTGGTGTTTGCATTCCCTTGTACGTAAAGAATGCTAATCTTACCCCTGTTTCGCCCTCATAGGCCATGCGATCTGGATAGGCAATCTACCACCGCAGACGAACCTCATGAGCCTCGTACACCATGTATGCCAGCAGACAGACGGCCTCGAGTCGCTGTTCTTGATTTCCAAGAGCAATTGCGCGTTTGCCAACTACCCTGATGAGGAGCGGTGTTTGGCGGCACAACAGAAGCTCAACGATACGTCGTACATGTCGGTGCGACTTGTGAGCCGGCTGCGCAAAACCCCAGTGGAAGGCGCGCAAAGCAGTATGTCCCCAACAAAGCCGACGGCATTGTCGACCGCGACATCGACTGGAAGTTCGCCTCCACAAGGCGACGAGAAAACAGCTGATGAGGGAGAAGAAGCAAGCCGTGCGAAGACATTGACTGCCGACGAACGTCGCTCTGACGATGCACCAGCAGCGCCGAAAAAGCCACCTACGCAAACGAGTGTTATAGTAGACGGTTCTGGAAAATCCGGTGCACCACGGAGACCAGCAGGCTATGAAACGGACCGTGCTGCTGCTGCCGCCATCCCGACAATCCCGGCAACCACTATAGTCTCGCCTGCGACTAAGAGCGACCGGTACTTTATCCTAAAGAGCTTGACCGTGGAGGATCTGGAGCTGAGCGTTCGAACGGGCATTTGGGCAACACAATCGCACAACGAGGAGACGCTGAACGATGCCTTTAAGGTGTGTGCAAGATTTCGATCCTTTCGAGTTGTTTTCCGTCTGCGACAGCTGTCTAACAAAAACAAACTTCCAGTCCTGCCAGAATGTCTACCTCGTGTTTTCAGCCAACAAGTCAGGCGAATACTTTGGCTACGCACGCATGACGTCCGAGATCAACCAAGACCCCGCCGCCGCTATTGCATTTGCACCCACCTCCCAATCGTTTAGCGAAGTCGACCTTCCCAAGGCGATCCCGACCGACGCAACCGAGACGACTCCACGCGGCCGCATTATAGACGACTCGGCACGTGGCACCATATTCTGGGAGGCACAACGGGACGATGCCGACGAGGAGTCGGAAGAAAATAAGAAAGAGGAGGGCAGCTACGGAGCAGACGGTGCAGAATTTGCCGATGGCGTCGATGGTGTCGACGGCGTGGACACTGTGGACGGCGTGGACGGTACAGACAAAACAGGCGGCGCGGACGGAGTCGACGGAGACGTTCGCGCTGGTACAACAGATGCAATAGATGGAACCGACGGCGTCGATGGTGCGGATGGTGATGATCCCAAGGTCTGGGGCAAGCCGTTCCAGCTCGAATGGCTGTCGACGACGCGCCTGCCCTTCTACCGCACTCGGGGCATGCGCAACCCACTCAACGCCAACCGAGAGATCAAGATTGCACGAGACGGTACAGAGGTCGACCCAGCCGTTGGACGGAAGCTGACGAGCTTCTTCCACCAGAGCACCTTGAGCGCCTCCAACACATAGGACTCCGTTCCGTGATGCCGACGAGCTACAATTGTCGCTTTTGCTCGGCTCAGGGTCGGAACTGCAGAACGGCGCAATGGAGCAGGGAATTTTGGGTGTTCATGGGGTTACAGGAGAGGGCGGTGTTCTCACACGGTAATGGGTTCAAGTCGGAGTCTATGATGCTCTTTATTTCTTGGTTCCTTGGGTCGTCACAAAAGTCTACTACAAAACCCGTTTATTTCCTTTTTTTTCTGGCATCTGGGTTGTCAGCTGCACATGCAGACACCCCTGCTCACAGATGTGATCCGTGTGCGTCTTGCATCTAAAATCCAAGTACTTAATTCCTATCCAATGGACGCCCGCGGAGGTTCTCGTCCACCATTGGCAGCTTTCTCCAGAGTCAATGGACACATGTGCAAGAGAATCTTTCCCTATCTCGCCTATATCGCGTGACCCCATGGGAGTCCGTAACGAGCGAGTATAGTTGTCGAATTCCGTCACGTGTACAAGTAGAAAAAGCGGCGAGAGGATGTGCGAAGATATCAGGAAGCGATGGAAGCCGTCGGGCTGTGCCCAGAAGACACGGGACCAGGGATAGCATAGCTAAAACAAGTTCTCGATCCATAGTGACCGTGGTGACGAAAGCGACCCTTGCGGGCCTGCGTGTGGGGCTGCCAACCTGTCGGGGAGGGAGGAGAGAAAAGGGACTAGCCGCGCCGGAAATAATGGGACCGAACCACAAAGGAATAGAGTCGTGGGCTCCCCCTGGACAAAAAAAAGCGCACTCACAAGGCTATTTAGTGGAGTTCCCTACACTGTTAAGAGTGTTACAGTGAGGATTCCTTGCTCTGTTAAAGTGCTAAAACGGTTTGTGAGTGCGCTTTATTTTGTCATGCTGGAGGTGGGGTTGTCTAGAAGGCCGTGCGGCCTCTGTATTATGTCATAATTACTCCCTAATTTAGCGTCTTTCCCCCTGTGAAAGTCGCTGAGAGTCTGCGGTACAAGCAACGTCCCTGAAATTCACAAAACGATACACGGAGGACAAAATATAGATTCACAGAGATGGTAATTCAAATCGCAATCATTGCAATGAGCGTGATGAGCACGTGGAATGAAACTGACAATCTTCTTGAATTAAGGGCCGTTTTTGACATCCCTTACTTTCCAGGGGAAAGGCAAACGGCCAAAGAAGATTTCCAGCGCTCTGATTGGCCAGAGCTTACAGAAGCTTCTCGCACATTCTGGGCCTAGCCCGCCACCTCCAGCACTTACACCAGGGCTCCCGAGACAACTGACAGAGAGCTGCAAGGAAGCTGTTAGAAGGCTGCTTGCCTCAGCCGACGCCGCTCAGCCGCGCATCTAGCAGATTCAGGAACCATCGACGACCATCGAGGCCACGAAATCACCATTAACAATCTCGCCTCTGCTTAGGTTTGCTGTGATTGCGTACCATTTTGTCGCCTTTTTCCAGCTGCCTGCAAGGCAGGCAGCCAATATTGCGCCATGCGGCGGTAGGTTCGGGAAGCATGGCGAGGCTTCGGCCATTGTCACAGTAGAAGTCTCTCTGTATAAAAATGCCATGTCCGACTTGCTCTTGGACAGTTTCCGTTTTTCTTTTCCTCATCCTCAGCGGAACAGTCACAGTCACCTTCAGACATTAAGTCAAAACAAGCACTAAACCTCACACATCAAACCTCAACCACTTCTACCAACATTCCCATCTTCACAGCTCCCATCCACCTCACCACAATCGTCAAGATGCCTTTCTACCAGCGCGCATTCTTTAACCCGGCCGTGGCCGACAATGCCTTCACCAACATCTTTCAGCTGATCAACGACATTGACAGCTACCAGCGCGAGGCGTCTGCGCCCGCTTGCAAGCCCCAGCCCCAACCTCAGAAGCAGCAGAGAGTCTGCAAGCCGCGCCACGAGCACGCCGCACATCACCGCCGCTCTGGCCTGGACGACTTTGCCAGTGTCTTTGGCGTCACCCGGCCCTTCAACCCGCGCTTCGATGTCCGCGAGACCGACTCCACCTACGAACTGCACGGTGAGCTTGCCGGCGTCGACCGCAACAATGTCTCGCTCGAGTTCACGGAGCCCCAGACTCTGGTAATTAGCGGCAACGTGGAGCGCAACTATTCGTCGGCTTCGCCTTCCACGCAGCAGCCTGCGGTGGCCGCTGCACCCGAGGCCGTCCCTGAGGCCATCGCCGACACCCACTCCGAGTCGGAGGACGAGCCCATCCTGCCCGACGGCGCACGTACGCCCGCCGAGGAGGACGAGCCGTTCACCGAGATTGCTGCGCCCCGCTCGCCATCGCCGGCCCGGAGCCACCGCGCCACTGTGACCGACGAGGCCACGGAGGACGCTTTGGAACGCGGCCAGGACGTCACCAACGAAAAGGCGGCCGAGGCCGAGGCTGAAGTCGCTGACCCGGCTGAGGTTGCCCCCGAGGAGGCTGACACCCCAGCGCAGGCTCAGGCTGCTGCTTCCAGCGACCGCTACTGGGTCCAGGAGCGCGCCGTCGGCCAGTTCAAGCGCGTCTTCAGCTTCCCGGTGCCCGTGGACGAGGCCAACGTCCGCGCCAGCCTTGAGAACGGCATCCTGAACGTGTCGATCCCCAAGGCCAAGCGCGAGACCCGCCGCATTGTGGTCTTTTAAACGGGCCTGCTTCCCACGAAGCTGAATATCTTCTCTGTTTTGACTGTATCATAACATCATCACATCAGCATCGGAGTTTCGCGTTGCGTTCTTTTGTCTTTCTTTTATTGGTTGGGTCATCTTCATAGTGGCGGAGGACTTAATTAATGTACGAGGTTTTCCCTTTGTCATATACAACTGCTTGCCTTTCGTGTTTTTGTGTTACTTCCGCCGGAAATAAATATTAAAAGCATTATCAAAAACAACTGCACACCAGTATCATGCACGAGTCTATAAATTAGAAAGTTAAGAATAACAAGATAAATAAAAAATGACCGTTATATAAACCCAGTCCTACAAGTTGCATGTGGAACAAAACGAACCATGTCAGACTGTGAATCTCAACAAAAAGTCCTACTAGTCCGTAGTATTTACGAAGCTCTGCCGAAGGCCACGAGACAATCGTGCGTTCGGTTCCGGCATCGGGCAATGTACAAATGCCACGCACTAATGGCCAGTGTGAAAAGCTTGTACTGAACTGTAATGCGCTGTAATGTGCTGGAAATACGTCGCCTAAGGGCGGGCCCTGGGGCGGGGCGCCGGCAAGCCAAGCACCGTACGTTGGGGCGCGCGATGGCGCAAGCGTGGTCGCCAATTTCGCCGATCGGATCAGGACAGACCAGGGAAGCAGGAAAGGAGCGGCAGACTGGTAGGAAGGCAAGCAAACATAAGACGCCTCTCGGGCTCGAGGAATGAAAAGAACGGTATTATATTTCGCCAAGACTGTCAGCTGTCACCGCGACCTTATGCCTTCGCTGTACTGAATATCAGTCCGCCTTCTCCCACTGTTGATTTGCAATTGCACGCCGTCTGCATCAGCCGACGCACAATGGCAACGCCTCTAGTCCAGGCCGCATCCAGCGGATTTCACGATGCCGGCGCCTACGATGCTCACCGCCCGTCGTACACGAACGAGGCTGTCACGGCATTCCTCGGCCGCCTGAACATTCTGGGCAGCACCGTCGGCGACGGCAAGCCGCTCAAGATTGTCGAGATCGGCGCCGGCACCGGCAAGTTCACCGAGGTCTTGTCGCGCCAAGCCGTCGCCAGCACCCCGGCCTTGGACGTTGTCGCCGTCGAGCCCCATGAACAGATGCGCGCCCAGCTGTCCGCCAAGAGCCTGCCCCGCGTCACCGTCGTCAACGGACACGGCGCCAGCCTTGGCTCGGTCGCAGATGGCACGGCCGATGCCGTGATCGTGGCACAGGCATTTCACTGGTGAGTGCTTTTTCGGGACGACGATTCATAGGCGATGTTCCATGCAAACATGAAGCAGGTTGCTGACCGACCAGGTTCGCCAACTACGACGCACTCAAGGAGATCCACCGCGTGCTGAAGCCCGGCGCCATTGTTGGTGTTATCTGGAACATTGAAGACTGTACGGTAAAAAGCGACGCACTGGTAGCGTCTACTGCCCACGCTGTCCACTAACTGTTCCGTTCCCAGACAACAAGCCTGCCGCGTGGCCCGCCAAGGCCGCCTGGGAGCAGAGCCTCAACGACATCATCTGCTCCCTTTCCAGCGACGGCAGCCCGCGATTTCGTGATGGCAAGTGGCAGCAGGCATTTAACGACGCTGCCCGTTCCCAGGGAAAGGACAGGCCCGCCCTCTACAGCCCCCTCGCCGACGACCGCGTCTACTGGACCGTCAAGCTCGCGCCCGAGGCCCTGTGGAAGCGGCTGCTCACCCTCAGCCAGATTGCGAACCTGCCCGAGACCGGCGCCAACGATGCGCAAGAAGCGGCCGACAGCACGGCCCAGCCGACCTCGCGTGCGACTGTGCGCCGGCGGTTCGATGCGGTGCTGGCGCGCGACGACGTGGCACGCGATGCCAACGGCGATGTGACGATCCACGCACTGACCTTTTTTGCGTGGGCGCAAAAGATTTAGTTGGCCCTTTTGGGAGGGGGGGATTGGTCAAAGGGGAGCCATAGCCGTTTATCTTGTCCCGTACTTTGGTCTATACTTTCTGATGCACAGCACGGAACAGGCTTGAAATTAAGTAACTTTGTAGAACTTAATCAATTGGTACAGCATTAGAATAGGGTACTGCGTAGAGACTGCTCTGTGCTTGTGCTCAATTGTATTCGGCACACAGAGCAGCGCGATATTTCAAGCTGCAAACCGATGCACGGCCGCGTCCGTCCTTCACAACCACGCTCGTATTTCTGAGTGCGGCTATGCGTCGGCCGAAATATACATCACTGTAAAAGAATGTCAGCATGTGAGGCTACAATAGCGAATGCAGGGACCCATCCGTGTCTCGAGTCCATGCTCAAACGTACCGTTGTTGCCGCGCACAAACGCGTCGCCGTATGTCCTCCGCTTCACGCCGTTGACGTATTCCTCCGTCTTCTCCAGCGCAATGTTCATGTAGCCGTCCACCGACTGCAGCTCGCCCTTGTACACCACCCCCGAGTTCAGCTTCACCACCACAGCGCTGCCAATGATCTCGCCCAGGAACGCGCTGGGATCCTTGCCCTCCGCCTGGCCGCTACCAGGGCCGTTCTCCATGGCGACAGAAGCGGGTATATTTGACACGGTGAGAGTTCTGTGGGTCTAGTCGCCGTCAGTGTCGTGGTTCTTGGGATGCTAGAGGCTCAGCGTGTGCTCTTTCCTCACGTTTCGAGAGTGACAGCGTGATGGTATGAACGGCACGTGGAGAGACCGTTGATGGTAGCACCGCAAACGATCACTGTAAGGTGTCAGATAGCTCGATTTCGACGCAGGTTTGTCGCTTTGGCGGTCGTGGGTGGCCTGCGTGGTGATTCGCCGCTTGAGGGTTGCAAGGTGAGGTTCGCGCCTGGCCCTATCTTGGAAAAATGGGTGTGGGAAGCATGCTTAGTCATATATGCATAGAGCGACCGCAGCACGCTGAAATTTTACATAAGCCGTCCGATCCGACCGCCAAGGCCTGATCCGAGCAACCAGGTTTAAGCGCCGTTGGTTCTATGCTATTTCCGGTCAACGGACGCAACGGTTCGCGACTGCCGTCGTCATGCAAAGAAGCGGTCTTGCCGTATGCGCTGTTCTATCCCATCTGTCGACGGCTCACGAATCCCTTTTTAACAAAATAAAGCAACCCAGTCACTCGTCGTTTTGAGTCTGTCCAGCTTCCTGTGAGACAAGACTAGTGCGAACGAAATTCACACCAGTACTTACCCCAGACTCTGCGAAACTCCGGGCATTAGAATTTCCGCACTTCCGGCATCACGACATCCGCTCCGGCCACCGGGAGTTCTCCGGAGTCACTTGTTTCTTTCCCCACACACTCCCCCCTGGAGGCTGCACCTCCTTTATAGAAGCTCTCCTCGTCTTTGGCACAGGCACCCGATCGGTGCCTGTCTATGCTACACTGCGAGGCTGGAGGCCACAGCGTCGCAGGAGCGGCCGACCCAGACTAGTCCAGCCAGGAGGCACACAGCGGCGCTGGAAGAGTCACGTCCAGACCTGCGCAAGCGCAGAAAGACGTCACGCAAGAGCTCCAACAAGGGCATCGTTCAGGACGCGGTCGGCCGACCAAGCAACAGCGTTGGGGGAGGTGCAGCTGCAACGAGGACGAGTGCCGAAGCAGTCGCTGCCGCCACCCAGGACGGCCCTAGCATGTCCGGCCATCATTCGCAGAACTCATCTCTCGGCATCTCCCACAGCATGGACGTCGACGGCGGCGACGCAAGCGGCGTCAGCGGTGGTGCGGGCGGCGAGGACTGGACGCAACATGAGAGCATCTTCAACTCTCCTCCGACGCCAGGGCCCTCCGTCTCAGCGTCAGTCTCAACCTCCGTTGTACCTCCACCACCGGCGACAAACTCCGGCATCTCGCACGCCATCTCTGCCTTGACGAACGCCAATGGTGCGAGCAACAGTAGCAATCCTTCCACGTCACCTCCTGGAAAACCCATCGCTGCACTCTCCAGTCACATTCTTGGCAAGACTCCGTCACCAAACGCACAAAACCGGGTAATCTCACCACGCCCCGCGCTCTCTACTCAACGTGGTTCCAAGTCACAGTCCGTCGTTGGCGTACCTCCGGTGGCTGCGGCCGCGACTACAGCCGCAGCAACAGCCCGGGCAAAGGAGCGCGAGAAGCTCATAACTGGGCCGCTAATGTTCCGGTACGTGTCAATCACGTCCATGGTGGCGCAGTGAACAGACTTCGTTGAGTGGAGAGAACGAAATGCTGTGCACCTCGAGGTAACCTTGACGCTGACTTGATCCCCCTTCAGAATGCCGCTCTCCATCGCCACGATCGTGGTCAGCGGCCGTGAATTCTTCATTCATGCCAATCTGCTCTGCAAGGAATCGGACTACTTCACACGCTGCCTACGTGGCGGATTTGCCGAGGCAGAGACCCAGCGCATCGAGATCAACGACGAGGACGTGTCTGTCGAAGACTTTGGCCTCTGGGTCGACCTGCTCTACCGCAGCCACTTTCAGAAACCGGAAACGTTTCTCCTGCGCAAAGAAGAAACCGGCGGCACGCTGTCTACTATGCAGATCCTGACGTTGTGGAAGCTCTCCGACCGTTTCATGAATCGGACCCTCGCCGCCATGGCCGAAGAGAGCCTCCATCATCGCCTGTCTCTGTACTCGGTCGAGCAGTGGCGCAAGCTCTACCGCACGCGCCCCTCGTCCGACATCAGGTCGCGTGTCAGCCGCCTGCAGGATGCCTACCACTACTGCTGCGACCAGGAGCTTCCCTTTGTCGACGACATTGTCGCCGCGTGCGCCAACTGTCCCGCCCAGGTGTATGCAGACTGCGCATCGCTGTTCGAGGTTGATTTCATGATGCTCGTGTCGCAGCGCATGATCATGGCGCATGCTGACAACCAGCTCGTCAGCAAGGACCAACGCATGAGCTCCAATGGCAACAATCCCACCGGGGCCGCTGCCCCCGGAGCCAATTCAACCCTGGCTGCTTCTGATTCGGGGATGTAAGAACCCGCGGTGTTCTGGCGGCTGTTTGTCTCTTGTTCACACTATACCATTGATATCTTCTTTCGCACATGTTTCTTGCTACGAACTCCTGGCTCCATGATTCAAGTCCATCCATTTGTTCTCGGCGTTTTAAAGTACCTCGCTTTCGTTTCACTTAGTCATTTTATGGGATTTTATTGTCTCTGTCAAATTCACCGCTTTCTCTGCTACCAAGATCGCCTGGATATCGCGTCGTGTCTAATGGAAACTCTAATGTAGAGCAGGAAAAACTCCAACCAGTTCTTACGGCGATTGCACCGACAACGGAGAAGATGTATGGATGAGGATTTGATTCCAACAGCAAAATATGATGACAACGTCCCAAACATGCTACGTAATAGTACAGTGTTGAAAACCCAAAGATTCGTCGCCAGGTATGATGTACAGGGAGAGTGGATATAATAGATTGTAACCAAAGGGAAACCAAAAGGGGACGCAATCAAACTGTGGCTTGATGCACGAGCGACGTCTACAGGTCACCTACACATCTACTTCCATCTCTCCATTACTCAGCCTGCTGCTCCATGTGCGTTGGCAGGTTGTAGTCGGCATAATCAGCATGCACAAAGGCTCGGTCGACAATCGGCACCGACTCAATGACGTACTGCAAACTCTCGCTCAAGTCGTGACTGTCCTTGAGCGACATGTTGGCGTCGAGCACAATGTCCACCTCCACAATCAGCTTGTCGCCGCCATGGTATGCCTGCAGGCCCTGGATGGCCTTGATCGTCTTGGCGAAACGCATGGTCAAGTAGAGCACTGACAAAGGTTAGGCGGTGCACGACAAATACATGAATGACAAGATGACGTACAGATGTTTCTCTGGTCGGCCGTCGCAGAGAAGCCAGACAGATGCTTAATGTGTTCAATGGATGTCCGTGACCAGTTGTAGATGACAACCATGGAGAGGAGCAGACCGCCGAGGGCGTCGAGCCACCAGATGCGTGCATAAAAGCCGACTAGACAGTTGGTCAGTTCGTCATGATCCGTACTCTTGAGGCCACAAGTGTGGTCGTGTGCGAAATAGCATACCAATTGGAAAAGCAATAGAGCCGGCGTTGAAAATCACGTCCGTCATGGCATCGGACGCCCTAGACTTTTGTTAGGATATGCAAACTGCCACAAGATGGTGAAACAGACTCTACATACAATGCTTGCACACTCGAGTTCTTCACAAGTCGGCACCACAGCCAACAAAGACCCTTGATGACGACCGTGCTTGCCATGATGATGATGGCAGGGAGGCCCCTACATAGTAGAGTGTCAGTCAAGCTCACGTAAAGTTCCAAGAGGTGAAGCAAAAGCGGGCCAGCGTACAGCTCAATGATCTCGCGGTCCTCGGATGCCAGCCGCTGCACAGCCTCCAGCATGACCTGCACAAACGACGTGATCATGATGGCCGAGAACACCAAGACACCCAGCGGCTCCAGTCTCCGCCGGCCCACGGGGTACCGGTACTGGTCTTGGTTGCTGATCATCCACGTTGTCGTCCACACAATCGCCGTCGACAAAAAGTCGAGCACGGCATCCACCAAACTGGCCAAGACGGAGATGGACGGCACGGAGACTACGACAGCGGTTTTTCCGGCCAACAGGATGGCATTGGCGGCCAGGTTGATGTAGATGGCCAGCGTGACAATGGGCGCCGAGCTGTCCACGTTCTCATCGTCCTCGAGCAGCAGCGGGATGTCGGCCAGCGTCGGGGACTTGCTACCGGGGCCGCCGGTGTCCACGCAGCTGGCTTTCGCCCGGGCGGACGCCTGGCTGGCGCTGTCGGATGCTGTCGCACCGTAGGGTGCAGAAAAACAATTGCCCGCCAGAGATACGGACGAGCTGCCATTGGAAGTGGCCGTGCCTTCGGCAGCTGCCCGTGAACGTGCGCGGGAGCGGAACTCTTCGTCAGAGTCGGGGTCGTGGTCGTCCTCATCGTCTTCCTCGTGGGCCTCGAGCAGGGGTGTCGTCTCGGCGGGCCGGTAGATCCCCTTGGGCGTCCGAGTAACCTTCTTGACGGCCGCCTGCATCGAGGGACTGGCGCCCGTCACGCCAAGGCGGGCCGCCTCGCGCTCCTGTAGCTGGGCGAATCCGGCGTTGGATGGCGACACCGACGAAGACTCCTCCCGGATGGTAGCCGGGACTGCCACGTTGCGGCTCGCTGCCGAGTGAAGCTCGTTGTACTCGTTGAGCAGGTCGTGCGGCAGCGACGAGTTGAGCAGTCGGTCAATGTACAGGTACTGCTGGATCAACATGTTGTTCCGCTCGTAGTACTCGCGAAGGGGCTTCGTCATGGTACACAGCTGCTCCGCCGTCTTCCAATACCGCTCCCAGCGGTAGCGTTTGGCCTTGCCAATCAGCCGCATGCTGCGCATCTGCGGGTTGTTGAGGATGGCGCTCAGGCGGCGCTCGTCGTGCGCGCGGCGCGCATCCTCCTCGTCGCTAAACGTGTCACGGCGGCCGAGAAAAGAGCCACCAGGTGTCATCATGCCCGAGGGCGTCATTACCCCGCCGGCAGCCTCTTCCTCATCACGGCCGTAGGCGTACAGGTTCGAAGATGACCGCCGGCGCATAAGCGAGGCTAGAGAGCCGCGCGGCGTGTAAGGCTCATCGTGCAGCAGCGAGACCGGGCGGTGCACATGAGTCGGTGACGCCATGGCGTGAGCTGCACCCAGGTCAAATGGGCCGAATGAAGAGACGTTGGATGGCCAGGGTCAGTCGTTTGATGCTTGTAGGTCGCCCTGGACCTTGAGAGTTGAAGCCGTGGTCACGGCAGTACGCGTGCGGCGATCGACGTGACCTGCCCGCACATAAATTGCAACCCAACCTGCGCGTTCCGGGGCAGAACGACGGGCAGCACAGTTCGCGACAAGAGGGAAGCTCGGACGTATCCAAAGTAAGAGACGTATCGAGATTGGTCGTATAGCAGAGACGATAGCGCCAAGATGCGATAGGAAAAGAAAAAAATGAAACATGATTGAGGTCAATAGCGCAGTATCTGTAAGACCAACAAAGGGAACTAATACGGCACCACGTCGACGTACACTCCACCTGCGAACCTAGGCCAAGCTGGGAAACTAGCTGCGCCAGCTGACAAAATTTAGAGTAGAAAAACCACAAGAAAGGCCGATGAAAAACGCGCCCAATCGTAAAAAGAGGTAATAAAGGGGTCGAGTCAGCAAGACAAGTTCAAGTCTCCCTCGCTCGCCTTCCAAGCCACTTGGCGGCCCACGTGATTCACTACTAAGCACTTGCGCGCGGGTAGCTCTTTCCTGCGGTTTGAAGTTCTTGCCATTTTGCTGTTGCTGGCTATCGCCGTCACAATTTTTTAACAAAACAAGTAGGAAAGGACAATTCAGGAAGGACGCTGGCAAGCTCTACAACGTACATCGTAGTACACAACACTGGAAAAAGGCACGCTAGAAAGCGGAGAGCATCTGAATTAGGTGAATTGGCGGATGAATGGAGTCTGCCATTCCAAAAACAGCTTAATTCTGATCGCTCCTTCTTTGTCGATTTTCTAGGGCGATGGGAAGATGGGATCGACAGTGTTATATGTACACTCTTCCGGAAGTAGACCAGGAACCCAAATCTGGAAAGAGCGACTAAAGAACAACCAAGGAACTTCCTAACTAACACGCAGGCACAAGGAAAGAACGTCCTTGCATCGACGTCAAAGCGGTGCGCAAAGTAATTTATCAGATAGTCGAAAATACCAGTTTGGCCCACTGCTGCAACCAGAGGTGAAAACGGAAGACGACCAACCCGGTTGCCCTGTTGTTTCTTTCTTCTTTTCTTTTCATTTACATGGCCATCCATACAAACATGTTCGCATCTAGTCTCTCATGCGGCATTGTTGCTCCCAGGCATGTGTCGCTGAAACAATAGCACCGACCAGGTGCACATTCCTCAAGCAGTTGACGGGTGAGTGCTAGTCGCATTCCAGTGAATATGACGACGTCACGCCGATCACGGTGAAGAATCAACAATCGACTTGCCGCACCAAGAAAAGCAGACTCGATGACGGCGAGTGCTTGCGTGTCTTATGTGCTTCCTTGACGTCCACTTGGGCTGTTCGCACAGAACATGTTGTTGGCAAGAACCAAGGATGACCTTGCGAGGAGGTGCAAGTGCATAGCAACACACTTCGTCCACACAGCAAGGGAGCCACATGTGTGCATGTGCAGGCACAACGCGCGACCAACGATGCGACATGGCAGTAACGGGCAGAGCGAGAGGCACAGTCTCGAGGTACACAGTGGTGCCAGCAACAAGTGCAGGCTGCGGGGTCTTGCTAACGACAGCAACGGCCAAAGAGTTGACGAGGTGGACAGTATCACAGCAGCAGTATGCCTTGCTCATTGCTCGAGGACTGGCGGCGTCACCGCGACAATTGCATCACTTCTGGTGACTCAAAGAAGTTGAACCAGCTATCCATCCAGCCACCGACCCATTCCAGCATCACTTGACCTTTGTTTCACGGGTCAGTCGAACATGGCAAAGTTCTCTCGCGGCCCGCACTGTGTGAGACGTTGAAAAGGCATGTTTACAACTGCGACAAGGATACATCGAATAACTGCGTGTCCCCCAAATATCTCTTCTCGGAGGGTTTGTTTTCCTAAAAGTTTGTTTTATGGCGCTTCGTTACGCTACATCTTTCTTACATTTGCTCTTCTTGGGCTTAAAACACCGCGTCAAAGTTTTGTCCGGTGGAACGGCCTTGCATAAAAAATTACTGGCCAACTACGCTGGCAGAGTTGCAATGGAAGTCAGTAAAAATAAACGGCTCCATACCAATCCTACCAAATCCAAGTAAGTCGCACGGAGCAAGGAAAGGCAGAAGGGTGGACTGGCAGAAACAGGAATAGAATACGAGGCAGAAATTCAGGCCCGAATCACGCACATGTTGGCAACGTGCAGGATGGCGGTGCAGATAATACCGGAGCGGAATATTAGACTTGCATCAAACTTGGATGTCTCGATGTCTTGATTTGGCTTTCCGAGACAGTTATCGCATTTAGATTCAGATGCCCCCCAAATCCCAAGACGGACAAACACGTCCTGGGAACGGTATTACAACACGGTCTTCGAAGCAATGGTTTGGCCCAGCCGTATATCCGCTGGAGGTTAATCAGATGGCCAAGATGACCAGTCTGGGGACGGGACACAAAAGAGAAAATGGTACTAGACAAAGACCAAAGGGAATCAAAACACACTCTCATGCCCTGTGTAAAACACCTCTTCGCGCACACCGTCACGTCTTCCTCAAAAGCCCACGTCTGCTGCCAAGGCCGAATAAGCATGCAGCAGTGACCTGCAGGGGCAACGGCAAGTAGTATTTTTGTGGCAAAGTCCAAACTGGGAAAGTAAATTCTAAAATATCATTGGCGAAGGCAGCGCAAAAGAGCTGTGACAACATAGATCCCATGCGGTGCATAAAAATAGAGCCCAGAATACCTTGGAAACAGTGGATCAGATATGCGCAGCTAAGCAAAACAATCCCAATGACCGAGAAGCTGAATGGGTTGGTCTGGACCGTGCTGCAGGTCGTTCTTGGCGAGTCGATTTGTTCGAATAATTTTTCCCAGGAGAAAAAAATTCTTGTGCAATCTGGGGTCAAGCTGCCTTGACCCCAGAACAAGTGCAATCCTCACAATGGCAAAACAACGAAGACTCGCAAGAGCACGTCCTACATGGTATCCTGCTAATACTGTGTACATCTTGCTAGCTCGCGACTCTGTCGCTCTTCGGACAAGTCGGAAGCTTTAAAATCCGCTGCATACACGAAATGACTGTGGCCTTTCCTTCACTACCAATACTGGCAATCCCTGCAGAGCTGAACACCACCAATGGCCTGGCTAACCAAAACCAGTCGAGGCCGCATCACACGTGGGCCCGGACATGCGATGAAAAGAAGGTCAGAAGAGACTTAAGAGATGCCTGCGAACATCTTTCCAGCAGTCGATAGACTCCACCAAAGCAGGGTCCATGCAGCAATTTCTCCGTTTAGTGTCAATACGCCTCCCGGATAACCCCTGTTGCTCAAATCTGTATATGTAATTGTTCTTCCCCTTGCCAGGCCATGCCCCACATGTAAATGCGATCTGGCGCGATTCGTGTTCATCAGGTCTTGTTCAGGCCCGTGAGGGCCTTTGAGTGGTAGTCTTGGTGTCCTTGCTAGGTGTATGTCGAAATGGATGCTACATCATGCCTGGGCCTTCCCACCACCCACGCCCAGGCAACAGGGCACATGCCTAGCGTCAACTCTGTGGATGTTTGTTACGACATAAATGCCGACGGCATGTCCTGTTCGCCGTTGTCTGATGGTGCACACAATTATGTAGAACGGCGTTGGCCAAGGACGCGAGCGAACAGTAATACATATGCATGCGGAACTGGCTCGCAGTCGCAAGCCGTGGACACAGAACAGCTATACAACCAAAATCGTCGCAGATGAACTGGAACAAAAGTCGAGACTTGCTACGACATCCGATGTACCGTAATTTCTGAGGGTCCTCTAGCTGGGGTTTCTAGACGTGTCTAGCGCCACCATCGATATTATAGTTTTACTGCCATGAAGAGACAAAATAGTTGAAAATTCCAAAACAACGCGCACAACTGCCCGGAAAGCACTGAGACTAACGATGATAATAATAATAATAATAATAACCCTTCTCACAGAACCGGTGGGAAGAACCGTCTTTTTTGTTTCTTAAGCCTCGTTCATCCACTGTCAGGGCTGGAGGGTGACCCTTTTGGTGCTCACTTTTGCGCCTCCTAATCGTTCGCTCCAACCAGCTGTGGCTGCATCCGTAGCAGGGGTGGAACTAGCTAGATTTACAAGCAGTACTATTGTAAGATACTTACTGGGGCTTCCACAGCCAGCCTTGTCACTCCGTTGCTTGCCAGAATTTATTTTTGCCAAGCATAGCATCGACCCATCCTTTTTTTTTTTTTTGCAATGTGGCACTGGCCTGTGTTTAAGCAAACCGCACAAATATATGTTTCTTGCTCGAGCTCACATTCAGCATTGCTCAAAAGTTGCTCGGAGACCAAGGTTTTTGGCAGCTTCTGCTACGCGCGCCTTTGTTCCAAACGCTCCTTCTCCTCTATAGTTGGCCCGACGTACGGGGTAATTACAAAGGGGGAATTCCCAACCCCAGCCGCCCACAGGCCTGGAACAGGAACAAGCGCCATTCCAATGCCCTCCAGCAACCCGAGGGGCAACTACAGAGCAACCACGCCGCACCTCGTATCTTCATTTCTGGGCTCAGACATGCCCCAAGTCAGGCTCTGGCAGCCTCGTGAGACAATTGCCAGGAGAGCCAACTGCAAACGGCGCAAGACAGCTGCCGACTTTGTGTTGCTGACTGAGGAGGACCTGTCAGGGGCACGGGCGCTGCGTAACTGTGAGTACAGCACTATCTGCTGCCCACACCAAAGCTTGGCATTGCTGCATCTCGCTGACTGCATGGAAACGCCGCTGTCGCCCCTTATTTGTGCGTCCCTGTGCCTGATCGCCCCTAGCGGTTCCTGTCCGTGCCTGTATTGCTGCAGCAAGTGTGGCCGAGAACGCAGCATCGAGCCTCCCAGCGAACCAGACGTAGCGACGTTCACATCCCATTTATACCTAACAATCACCAATCACCACCAGACGCAGCAGCCAGAGTCCACGGGATCTTGATATCCAATGCCAGTGTTTAATAAATGCGAATAGAGAGACTTCGTAAACGTGTTCCTGGTCCACCCTGTGCATTGCCCCATAGCAAGCAGAATAATGTATCTTGCCCTAGGCTATATTTGTCCACTAATCTGCAGCTATGATACGAGGTCGAGTGGCACCTAAACATGGACTGGACCACCCTCAGACGGCCTCCCTTGCGCCACCAGCGAGCATCCAGCTTTCTCGCCGAATTCAACCTCCACCTCACATGCTCTGCCGAGCTGGTCCCGTCTTCGCTTTGACTTTTGGTCTCTTGGGCCTCGCTGCCCGCTTTGCGCTGTCTGTTGGTCTGCCGACACACCGCGTGGCTGGCTGGCCAGTCCGTCTGTCATGCCTTAAACAACGCCTGCTGTTTTACTTGTCGCTTTCCCTGTTGGTCTCTTCGTCGCTCCTGCCACCCCAACCATCATTGCTTAGCATTTCCCGGTCCACTCACACACACGATCCGCCCCCTGTCCTGCCCCTCAGGGCTGTCCTCACACTCTGTACCTGCCACTGCGACTTTTTCAGCTCCTCCCTGTGAAATTTTTCTGAGCCTGTCGGCCTCGCACATCGTGGCCGCCGCTTCCCGATGTGTTGACCTGTCCACCTGTGGCACCCCGAGCGATCCCCTCACCCCACTAAATCGAAGCGCCCGAAGCCCCTTTCCGTGCTTAAAAATACCCACCCCAGCCCAATGGGTTGTATGGCTCCCCTGTTGCTCAGTTCCTTCGCCCCTATAAACGACATGCTGTAGCCCGTATTTTTCTAATTTATTACTTTTTTGGTCGCTGTTTCCGCGCCCGCCTCGTCCCAACCTTCCTCTCCCTTTCGTGTTCTCTCGCGTCTGTTCCCTCTTCCTCTCCTCTCTCCACCTCCAAACAGAACACATCGTATACGATCTTCCTCTCTCCCAACTTCCGACTTTCGTTTCACAGCACTGCCGTTCTTTTTTACGTCTCTGTTTTTGTTTGCTCGTGCCTTGGTTTTGCACCTCACTCTCTGTTCTGCTTACGAGTCGCCTCTCAACCTCGCTGGCCCTTAATAAACCCAACCTCGCGAACTACCAGTGTCTGCCATTTTCTGTCTATTCTAATATTCCTTTTTTCCCTCATCCCTTTCCCCTTTTTTGGCCATTTCTCGCCGCTCTGCTGGCCAAATTCTGTGTCTCTCGCTTTCCGCCATACGTCTCTTCTGTCCTCTCCGGCAACGTCTCTTCTTCGTATCGACGTCCTTTTCCCGGCTTGCCTCACGTTGCCGTCCCACTTCAGCCGCAGACGATCAACAAACAGCACACTGACAAAGAGCTCACTTCACCGACTGCAGCTGCACACAGGAAGCGCCACCACTCGTCACGACAGTTCGACCCGCGCCCTCTCCTGGCCCTCGAATCGAAGCACCCTTCTTCGGCCTCTTCTTCGACTCGTGGCTGCCTCGACACAGCTTCGCAACCTTCCCTCCTGTCTTGTCTCTTTCGGTTTCTTCCGCGTCCTATTCCCTTGTTTCGGTCTGTCGGCCTACGATTATATACGTTGCGTTTTTATCCCGTGTCTCTTATGACCTCGTAATTAAGTCGCACCTCAACATACGACGGCTTGTGCTTCTCATCGTTACGTGCCTCCACGTAAGTCAACAGTCCTACAAGCACACGCTCCACGCTCGCCCCTTTCGTTCCTCGTCTTCCGTCGTCGATGCCCTTGTCTCTGTCGCCTGCCTCGCATGCAAATACGTTCCCTGGATTTTTGGTGTTGTTTGCACTCTCCTGCTCGCCCATCCCTCCCCTCCCCCCTCCCCCTGGTGCCTCTCCCGCCCTCTCCCGTTGATGGTATTCTTGAAACGGCGTGCCTTTCCAACATCACATACGGTTGGACTTGTTCAGGCCGTCTCTTGCCCTTGCCTTGTTGTATTTTCTCGTTCCCGTCTCTCGATCGCCCGCCCTGCGCATATCACGACGAAAATCAAAGGCTTCTCGAAGCAAAACAGCATTGCAGACTGTCGATCTGGTTCTTGCTCCCGCAGTCCACTCACTACCCGGTCCGTCACACAAAATACGGCTCGTGGTTACGACCATGTGCACCAAGCTAGCCCAAGCCGCTTCGCAATAACACAGCCTCTGTTTCCCATCGATGTGTCTCATCTGTTGAACCGGTGGCGTGGAAGAGCTTCGTACTCCTGTGCGCCTGTCGAGAAGCTTGTGCTCTATCACATCTTTGTCCGAGGTGTTGGAGAAGGCGGCCCCACTGGTACAAAGGTCGACAAGGTCGTCACTTGCACACAAAGCATTCCACCTTTTTGTTTTTCCGTCTGTCCCTGCTGTTTTGCTTTTTACTTTTTGGGTGGTCCGCGTCCCCCTCCCCGGACACGCAACCTCATGCACTTTTGGATCCCGGTAGCCTGCATCGTTACACACATTGGACCATCTCGCACGAAACAAACACACACAAGCACATGCATACCACGCAAGGGTGCGTACGAAAACTGGAAATCCTGCTTTGCTAACCCGGGTTTGTCCTCGCTATTGCAGCCGCCCGCCGTATAGCGTCATAGTCGTCTTTCCCTTTCAATCTGCGGACGCACACAACGGTCGCTCGTTCGTTTGCTGCAGTCGACTCTACGTTGTCCTGCTCCTGTCGACGCTCGGTATCGAATCCCGGAAGCCCAGCCCACAGTCAACAACGCCACAACCTTTTTGCTTCGTGTTACCCACCGGTTGTCGACCCCTGGTGTCGGTTCTTTCAATTCTACGCCGTCCACAATAATCATAATAACAAATCACCCATCCGCAGCTGCGTCGCCTCCTCATTGAGTTGCCGCTTTCTCTCGACGAACTCTTTCCAGTCCGGGATACTCTTCTCAACAATTCGCTTACTTCATTTTCCTCCTCGTCTCTTTCTACATGCCTAGATTTCCGGTCGCCTTTAACCGGCGGAAATCCACCGCCGACAACCTCGATAATGCATCGGTAGGAAGCCCGTCTTTTCGCGTGTTGGATCGCTCTGAGGTATTTTCGGGAACGAAGAACTTTGACGCCCCCAACCCAAATGCTCGCTTGGCCGTCAAATCCCAGAGCATGCCCAATGCCCTGATGATTGCGGAACCCGAAGACGACAACATCTTTGCCAACCTCAACGTTAATCGGTACGTACCCGTAATGGACAGGCCGGCTTTGGACTAGCCATAATGCATTCTAGGCTCCTTCACTACGACCGAAGTGGATTCGAAATGGAGGCCGAGCTAGTGGAGGGCGTGTCCGTGTCCCGTTTCCTGTGTCCGTGTCCGTGTGCTAATACAATAACCAGGGGCAGCGGCTCTTCAAATACGACAAAGACGACATCTGACGACTCCTCACGCCATAGCAACGTGTCGACAGCCCCCTCATCCGCTGACCTAAGCGCCCAACAGCAGCAGCAACAACAGTTCCAACAGCAATTTCACCAGCAGCAGCAGCAGCAACATCAAGAAGACTACCGTCTAGCGAACAAGAAGCTGTACGGCGACGTCCCGGTGCCTCCGATCCCCAAGTCAAACACCACAAGCAGCTTTCTCAAGTCTGCTGGCCGCACGTTCTCGTTTGGCGGCAACAAGAAGAACCTCCCGATCTTGCCCAACGACGATGCTCCTCCTCCACAGACGCCACCCAAGCGATCTGACACGGGCAGCACCACTACCAGCCGCGATCGGTCTCTAACCGAGTCTACAGTAACGACCGCCACACCCCCCAAGCTTGAGGAGGGATTTACACTTGATCTGGGAGGCGACTTCAGCAAGATGCTCGGTGGTGGCTTTGACAAACGAGCGAGCGTGATGACGGTTCGGGAGGACGGCCGGCCAGCTCTGGTGCCACGGTCGTTGACCGGCAACCGGCTGAACCAACCAACCCCCATTCACGTTGATGGCTCCGCCAAGGTTGAGCCGTCGCCGTATTCGTGGGGCAGCCAACACTCCAATGAACAACTGCTGAATGCTACTTCGCTCCTTGGCTCCTCGCCAAATGAGAACGCACCACCCGTTCCGAGACACACGGCTCCCCTTGCTCGGCCACAGACGTCGTCAGGAACCAGCCCCAACGTCACACAAAGCACCATTCCTCCCATCCCCACCTCTCGTACCGAATCCAGCCTCAAGAGAACGAGTGCCCTCTTTGGCCGCCGCCGCTCAACGATCGACAACGCTGCCGAAGTCGCAGATGACGAAGACACCGTTCTCTTGAAGGACTCACTTTCCACTGTCAACAGATTCCTTGCTGGTGCCAGCCTGTCCAACAACAAGCAGACCTCTTCACCGAGCAGCCGCTTTGGTCGACGCGACGATGCCCTGGGTGTCGGTTACAGCCAAGTGCCGACGGAATCCACGTCCCCAACATTTGGTGCCAAGGTCGTCGCCGACAACGACGACAACCTGTTTGATACCAACCTCGTCAGCTCGAGCCGAACGGCTCAGCGCTTCGTGGCTCGCAAGCCCAGTCCGCCGCGGAACAAGGTCATGACGCCCGCCCAGTTTGAGCGGTACCGGAAGGACAAGGAGCGGGAGGAGAGTGGCCAAACAACGAGCGTCTCAAAGCAGGAGGCCAACGGCGATAGCGATGATGACGATGACAAGTACGAGGATGACGAGGATGAGGCTGAGAAGTCAAGACAGGCGGCCAAACAACGGCGAAAGCAAGAGGCACACATGTCTGTGTACCGCCAACAGATGATGAAGGTCACCGGTGAGGCCGCGTCAGGAACGCCTGCTCGCTCGAGCATGCATTACTCCATGTCGACACCGAACCTGCCGACGATGGGCACTCTTGCCCCCAATACCCCCAACGGAGCGAGACTGTCACCGCAAAACGGCTCAGAAAACGAAGGCGAAGACGAGGATGAAGAGGTTCCCCTGGCTATCCTCGCCGCACATGGTTTCCCCAGCAAGAACCGCCCGCCGACCCGTCTCAGCACGATGATGTCGAATCCCAACCTACGTGCGGCCGCCGCCCCCAGCTTCCAGCGCCCCCAGTCGATTGTGGGTAGCGAGGCCAACAGCCCTGCCGCACCTCCCAACGGCGGCCGTCTTCCAGTCTTTGCCCGGAATCTGCCTCAGGACCCTTACGGTCTGGTGAACTCCAACAACCGTGAGACCCTTAACTTTGCCGGTGGTGCCCCTGCCGTATCCCCGCAGGCGAACAGCGGTGGTCTGCCGCCTGGCGGACTTGTCGGCGTCATCGCCAGTGAGGAGCGGTCTCGTGCCATGCGCAGAGGCAGCCCGAATGCCGACGCGATCAACAAGCCTGTCCCACATATGGGCCCTATGGGATTTGGAGGTCCGCAGTTCGACCCTGCTGCCGGTATCCCACCACAGATGATGTACCCTGGCATGGGCATGCCGCAGCCGATGCTCACCCCAGGTGACCAGGCCCAAATCCAAATGACGCAGCAAATGCAGCAGTTTATGCAGATGCAGATGCAGTTCATGCAGATGATGGCCAACGGCGGCGCCAACGGTATGCAGCGGCCGATGAGCAGCCAGTATGCCGGACCCGGTGGGCCCATGAACATGGGTATGATGGGTGGTATGGACGGCATGAACAATGACATGGGCCGCCATTCGTTCGTTGACAACGGCTCCGTGATGGATATGCAGCTGCCGCACCCTGACATACACATGCGGACAATGAGTATGGTCCAGCCCAACTCGGCATCGTGGATGCAGCAGCCGCAGGGTCAGGGTTACGCCCCGTCTATCCGAATTCAAGGTGCCAACGCCTATGCTCCGTCGATTGCTCCCTCTGAGCGCAGCAACGTCGGTCTCCCCGGCCGCTACCGCCCTGTTTCGCACGTTCCTGCCGGCCCTGCCCCGTCCGAGCTGCGCAAATCGATGACGATGTCCGGTGCCATCAGCTCTTCGACGGGTGATGCCCAGACCAGCGCCACGTCGACACCGAGACCCAACACGAGCGGCAGCATGAGCCCCAACGAGAACAACACGCCCAATGGCCGTGGTGCGAGCCCGACTGGCTGGGATCTTTCTAGGAAGCAGAAGAGCGCCTCGCCTCTCGCGCAAAGCAATGTTGCAGATGACGACGATGACGAGCAGGGCTGGGCCGCCATGAAGGCCAGGCGCGACAAGAAGCGGTCCATATGGAAGTCGAAGAAGACTCTCTCCAGCGAGATTGGTGCCCTCATCAGCTAAGCTATGGTCATCGGTTGCCAGCCATCACTGTTGCACATGCTAACGCTCTCCATCTCGCACACTTTTCTTTCTATTACACATCTGCACAAAATTTGGGTCTACTAGAATTTGGAATAGCCGGTATTTGTGTTTTTTTTTTTCGTTACGCTGTGATTTTTGGTCATTCCTTATAACATCATACGTGATGCGTGCGCAAGTACAGGGCGTACGCTTGCGGTAATTCAGGGGAGGAAAAACTAGGTGTTCTGTTCTCTTGGTTTTGTTTTATTCTCTCAACTAGACTTGTGTTGTATATCGAAGGAAGAGCTGGACACAGCCACATTTTAATACATGGTTTGCATTTTTACTCTTCATTTGTTTCTGCCTTTTCTGTTTGTCTTTCATCAGTGGGCGTTCTCCAATCTTGTTCTTCGAATCTAAATCGATCACTTAGAAGCATGTCTTGCAAAGTTGCTTTGATACGTGAATGTCACTAAATATGCACTTTACATTTTAAGAACCGCTTTTATCATCGAAAAGAATTCCTCGTCGAAGTGGTTGAAATAAAATGGCAATATATTATAAACAAAATTTTACCTTCTATATCTTTATTTCTTCGCTCTTTTT